CACATCTGAGCGGTAAAGCACGAGGCTGGACTTCTCCACAAATGACACGTTCTGGAGTTCCATGAAAGCAATCTTTTGACACATACATGTGATGCTTTCCCCTGGCTCTGCTTTCAGGTCTTCATTTTGTCCCTAATCCCAGTCCTTCTGCATCCTCCTGGGCGGCCGTGTGCACCCTGGACTCCTTGGTCGCATTCAGGCCAGCTTCCCCGCTGTCCTGGCCGTGGGACCTCGTGGCACGCTTCTCTAAGCTACATGTTCCTATTCCGAAAATGGAGACGGCAGCTCCCAGGGAGGCCGTGAGAGGTAGCAAGATGGTGCACGGGGCTCGCACCCCTGTGAACGCAGTGAGGGGTACCAGAGACCCCGCACATGCCTCTGAGGGCAGGGCCACCGCTCCTCCCGCTGCGTAGCCTGCAGGGGTGGTTTCTCTTCACGGTGGTCTCCATGACCCATTTTGTCACCAAACCTACAAGACTCAGCTCATCTTTCAGGTATCATCTGCTAGATCGAGTCTTTACCTATGATCTTCAGGGAGAGGTTCTTTTTGCCTGATGCCTGACCTGCTCTGAAACATGTACTATTAACCGACATTTGTGGGCCCTCCCTGGTGGTGCAACAGGCAGAGATGCAGCACTGCAAGCTGGCTGCAGCCGCTTCTGCGCTGGTTCCATTCCAGGCCCCAGAGGGGACCCACAGGGCGCAGCAGACCTCTCCTGACCACCCGCTGCTCCCCTCAGCAGTGCACTTCGTGATCTGCTTGTTCTGCTCCCCACTCTGTCTCTGGTGAATCCTCTCACTGCCCCTGTGCTCTGGCCTGTACCTCAGTTCTGTATGCACAAATAAACAAATCTTTAAAAGAACAACAAAACTGTTTGCATTCAAATTTGTATCACTGGGCTCTGAGTTTCCAGAATGAAGAGCTCATTTACCTGCAACACCTATCAGAGAGCCCAGAAAAATGCTGACCTAAAAATGATCATGGAAAACCACAAAAGGATCAGAAGAAAAATGTAAGTGAAATTAAAAAAAAATTACTTACTGTAAGTAAGAAATGTATACTGAGTTACACGACACTAAAAAAATCCAAAATTATGAAGAAAAAAATCTGACGACTGTTTTTGCCGGAGCCCATACAGAATTTTAAAATAATCACTTAAAAATGCTGTGCAGCATATGGCAAAAACAATTGTGCACAGAGTTAACTGAGAAAAAATATACACCAAATGATTCACATCCTCAATAAGCAATTGAAAAATAAAAGGAGAAAAGCCTTATTAGAAAAATGGGGGAAATAGGCTATTTACACAAATACATGGAAATGCAAATGTCTGTGAATAAATGAAAGATGTTTTGCATTTCCAGCAGCAGATGAAAACAACATTAAGATGTTTGAAATTGGCAAAGGTTAAACATGTGGTTAATGAGTAGCACTGTAGTTCTGGCCACAGGGTGACATGGCCATGGTTTGCAAAATTAAAAACATGTCCGCCCTATGGCAAAGCAAATTTCACTCAAAGAATTTACTTTGATCAACAATGTGATGCACTGCATACTACATACACACGTACTCTTACAAAGTCGAGAAAACACCGC